TGTCGTTGTCGAATAGCTTCTCCAGGTTTATAATAAACTGGTTGTTTGAGAAATCGATCAAAGAAGTCTAACCAAATTTGAGACATTCCACAATATTGAAGAAAGATCTGAACAATTTCATGTGAAACTGATGGTCCAAACCATTCAAGATCTGCCGAAACAACAGTAAATGATACATCGGGATGTAAGACTTGATGCAATTGAATTTCAGTATTGATTAAAAAGAATAATTTACTTTTTAAATCACGTTCATCCTTGTTTTCATAAGCAGCTGCTCCTGTTTTTGCATCAAATTCATCAGGTAATGAAGCCATCCAATATTCTTCCTCTTGCATGATCAACCGTTTGTATTGAATCGATTTTGATGAACAATTATTTCGAGATTTCTTAGTTAATGCTGCAAAGAGAGTTTTTAATTCGCGTTTAAAATGATAACTCCATTGTAAACCGAGATGTTCAAGGAATATTGCCGTAAGAAAATCTTCTTCATAATAACATCGATATTTTCCCACGAGATTTCGTCGAAAAATACCCCGTACACCCTCTACAGGCCATTTCCAATCCTTTAAATCCGAGATCATTAAAGTCAAAGATGAAGCAAATTCATTGATAGCATTTTCATCCGATCTCATTTTGACTAGAAGTCGTTTTCGATATGTATCTAATGCACTACTATTGATATGACTGTCGATTGCTCGTCTCACAGCAGTAGAAGAAACCTTTTGAGTTAATAATGTTTTTCCATAGTTTTCTGTGACGAGTTTAAACTCATCGAAAGCAGTTTTTAATTTTGAATCGTTTTCAAAAAAGGCAAAAAGTTTTGTTTGAAGAAAATTTCGCCATTGATCGAGATTTAATTGTGATCTATCGAAAATAATCTTTTGTAATTGTTCATTCGTTAATAAACTTTCATTCGTTGTATTCACTTCTATAGGCGCAAATTCATCTTTCTGTTCGGATAACCATTGTGACATGATTAAACCGAATAAATAATTATATTCTGAACGTTTTTTTCCACAACTGATGATTCTCATCAGTTGATGATAGAAACTTTCTAATAAGTTATTGGATGTTGATGTATTGGCTTTTGAGACGGATAATAATGAATCGAAATTTTTTAGATATCGTTCTTTATCCTCTTCGCCAAACAATGTCTTTATACTTCCACCCAACATACGAACTTTATCAAGTAATGTGAGTGTCGAATCATGTTTTTGTGTGATGATTCGATTATATTCTTCTTCGAATTTTAGTTTCTGTAATTTAAAACGATCTAATTTTAATTTGGTCATTAAACTAAGTGCTTCACGATCGGGTGGTATGGAAGCAGATTTTTCATTTTTGCTTTGTATAATTAATGACATTTTCACTTCGTTACTGTCGAATAATAATGTTACACCAGACGTTGTATGGCCTTTTTATACAAATAATATGTGTAGTATTTCGCAATCGAAGAAAATAATTTTATGAATCAGTTAGATTCTTATGAAAGTACGATGAAACTACTATGACTCCTTACTGACAAGGTGATAGTATGGATTTTTCCTTTTCTCCCACTCATACACATGTCTGCATTTTTTCTTTTCTTCCTACTATCTTGAAGGTGAAGGTGGTTTATTTGTGAATGTGTGATGAATGTATATACCTACACTGTAAAAAAAATTCGTAGAATAATAAACCCAAAAAGGGTTATGATATTGATAAAATTAGCGATAATGAAAAAATTGTTTTATCGAAATTGATGGCTGAAATTTTAACGAAAAAAAGTCTTTATCTAGTCTCGAGCAACAAATCGATTTATTGTTAACAAATGATTCAAATGCTTTACAAAAAGAATTTATAAAAAAAATTTCAACTGATATGGGTAAGAAGTCATGTCAGAGATGGAACCGGTCTACCTTTTTTCAGACCGGTACCGGTGCGGGTCTGGAGAAAGGTAGACCGGACCGGACCGGCGGGTATACCGGTTTGACCGGTCTAAACCGGTCTACCGATAGTGACAGGATACTGGTGATACGCCAGTTTATCAGGAAAACCCGACCTATCGATAAAATATCGATCTACAGACAACAGGCTGAAGCTTAAAATGAAATCTTGTGCAGTGAACTCTTTGGTGGGTTACCTTCGTACCTTAAATACAATCACAGAGCAGGAAAGTGGAAAATATAGACCAGTATAGACCGGCAGACCGGTCGATCCAAAATCCAGACCGGTACCGGTTCCATCTCTGAGTCATGTCTTCATTCCCTGAATCAAAAAATACTCTCTATTTAGCACTTTTAATCGGAAATACAAATGGTGAAGATGCTGATATAGATTTTGTTATGAAATATGTCAGATTATGCGGTCGTCTGATGCCTTTGTAATGGTAAACACTGCAATACAATTCAAACTAGAAATAAACATTCATATTTTCTTTAAATTTTTTTTTGTGAAAATAAAATGGTACTTTGTATTTTCTTATTAATGAAATGTATTCATGTCAAACATTTCTCAATTATGAACAAATAAAAAACAACTGTGTATAGATAAGATATCTCAATACTATAATAAATTTGTGGTTTTTTTTACGTAGAATATAATATGATACATGAAATGTGATAAGAAAAGAGAAAATGGCATTGTTTTTTCAATGATAGACTAGCAGGGCAAACAGACAAGGCGATTCCTTTTCAAATATAATTCTCGCTGCATTTCATTCGAATATTTCTATACTGAATAATCAAATTGATAATTGTCAACCTACACATTAGGCATTCTATGGGTATTCTAGTTTGATAACAAAGAGTTAAATATTATGTGAAAATCATAAAGTACTAATAAAATAATTGTGTCGAACTTGCTATTTCAATCATGGGAATGATCTTTGATTTTTGTTATATTTTCGGTGGTTAACAGGATAACAATACTCGATGATATTACTTTTAATAAATACTAAGAGAATTTAACAAGGCTTATTGTTAATCCATTGCGAAGCACAGCATTTGGGAAGGGTGCTAATCAGCGAAACACTTTTCAGCGAAAATTTTGAGCGAATAGAAAAAAGCGAAAAAAAATTCAGCGAAATAATTTTGAGCGAAATGACTAAACCGCAAAAGATATTTTAGCGAAATGGAAAATAAGCGAAAGAATAAATGAGCAAAAACTACAATAAGCGAATTTTTTTCCGCGAAAAAATTCTCATAGCGAAAGTACATTTGAGCGAATAGCGAAAACCAAAACAGCGAAATTTTTGATAGCGAAAAAATTTATTTCTAAGTAAATAGACGATAAAAATCAATAAGAATCAAGAAATAAAGAAACATCAGATAGACATCAAGTAATATCAATAAGACCAGATAAAAAAATAAACTACAATTATGAGCAGTTCAAAGTGATTTTGTAGAACGTTTAGCAACAAGTGTAGATAGTCCATAGAGAAAGTCAATTAAAGTAATTTGTTCTTGTTCGTATCGTTCAGTTAGTGTATCAATTTGCTTTTGACTAATACAGACATTACTACTTGTTTTTTTTGGAATACCAGCATTTAATTTTCCTAATTGTTGACGAAATAATAATTCTTCCCGTTTTAAACATTCAAGAAAATGCCACATGTTAGGATGATGCTTTTCAACTCGATTATTGAACCGGTTGTGCCACGCTAAATAATAAACAAAAAAAAAATATTTTGATAAAAAGGAAAAAATGTTACATTCACAGAAGTTGTTAGTACGAAAATCGACGTTCGACACATTCCAGTATTTTATCGATATACGTTTCAACCACTGCTTTTCATAATAAGTAAAAAATTCAGCAAGTGCTTTAGGTGAATCATTTTTAAGAAGCTCGTAGGCTTCTTCTACATATTCAAGTGGAACTAAAGCGAGCGCCATAGTACTTCGACAAGCTAAACGTGTATCTTCATCTTCAAGGTAACTAGTCGAAAGACCCAGTGATTTAACATTTTTATACAATAACTGACAATAATGAAAAAAACAACCATGGTGAATAGCTGTTGGAAACTAAGAAAAAAGAAAAATAAAGCTAATGATAGACTTGGACTATACGAACTTTTTGTTTAATAGTCTTGATCAAGGACATTTCGAAGTCCGACATAATATGCTTCGGATCGAACTTCATCTTTAATCGATCAGCATGACTACTAAGTTCAGAAAATAATTGTCGATAAATATCCGTAGATTTTCCCGAGAGAAGACTAATGACACATGGAAAATCTAAAGAAGAAAGAGAGAAACTAGAAACTTTGATCAAGTTTATAAATTTACTTTGATTGAATTTTAAACAATGAATTGTATAAATTTGCTGAAATTGTTCTGGGCATGAATCAAAAGTACCATCCAAGAAGATCCATTCAGATGAGAATAGTGTTTCAAGTTGTGTATCAGTAGCAAAAAGAATCATTCTTTTTTTTTTAATGATCTTGTCCGTACATACAAACTGTGTACCATCAAGAGTTTGAGAATAAAATTCAGGAATATCAAATTCTGCTGATGTTGGTATAGGTGGTGTTGTTTTTCGACGAACACGATTAAGACCAGATTCTATGTAATACGGACAAAAATTAGAGATTTCGACTAACCAAAAACTTACTTCCTTCAGCAGCAGTAGATGCAAGTGTTAAAGCGGTAGAAGAAAGATTAGAACGAGCTAATTCTTCTTCATATATCTTAGATATAGAACTTGTTTCAGTTTTTACTCTTTCTTTGACTTTTCTTTTTAAATTTCTAAGTTCAATTTGTTCAGGTTCAGGTATATGATGATGCTGACCATTAGATTTAATGAAATGGTCATTTTTGTCTGTGTGAACATTAGCTACACAGCCATCCGAATGACAAGTCCAATACTTTACTTTCACCGTTGATTTTTTAAGCCGAAAAATATATCCTGAATAAATTAGCAAAGGTTTGCCTCGATTTGAAGTGGTGAAAGAGATCGATGTTGAATCAGTCATGTTTACTAAGTTCAAGAAAATAATAAAATGATGTGCGTAGTATGGATTGAAATCATGGACGAAAGAGAGATATACAAGAAAAAAAAACATAGTCGAATAGCACGTTATTTGGTCAGAATAGAGAAAAATGGATAAACGGCGTTACTTTTGGACGCACTCCGCATGATGAGTCATCATTACTTAAAGATAATTTGAGCTATTGAAGGAAAAAAAATTCGCTGAAAGTGCTTTCGCGATATTATGTTTCGCTATTTTTGGCATTCGCTGTCAGCTTTTTCGCTATTTTGTACTTTCGCTATTTTGTATTTTCGCTATTTGACTTTTCGCCATTGTACATTTTCGCTGAAATAAATTTTCGCTGTACTGTTTTTCGCTGTTTTTTTTCGCCCAAAAAACCATTTGCTGAAATATTTTTCGCTGAACGGACACCGGTTCCAGCATTTGTGTAGTCCTTCGCGAGTTTTTTAAGGTGCGAAGCACCTGTATAGTGGTTCGTTGCGAGTTTTCTTTATTTATTCATTTATTTATTTCTAGCTAGACTTACGCACATTTTTTTCACATTTTGCGTCGCAGCGATCTTGAGAACCGAAAGTCAGAAAATCTTCGTTGAACTGTGAGATGACAGTGTGGAGATCGAACCGAAAGCTCTTTTTTTTGAATTTTCGTCATGATGTTCCTTTTGCATATAAATAACGTCCAGAAAAGAAAAATTTTTCAGGACTTTCATTCTTTTTTAAACTTCCAGATAATTAAAATAACTAGATGGCATTCCGACTTTGTCAAGAATGCGAAATAAGGTGCGAAGCACGAATATCGACTATGTGAAATAATCGAGTTTCTGAAAAAAACGAAAAATCGGTTGTAGAGTCAAATTCGAACAATGTCTGTCTTGAAGTGGTCTGTTCCATCGAAAGCAGAAGTTTCTGTCAATCGTTATAACTAGAAAAAGTTACATTTTCATCAATGAACTGATCAATCATATTAATATCAACTGTGCCAAATCTCTAATAAATGTTCGTGATACTATGTTAATCTAAATTCAATAACAATTGTCGATGCTTAAAAAAAAATATATCAGTAAAGAATACTTTGTGCAAGATGCTAAATTAGAATAGCTAATGAAGAAAGTTATTTGTGGAAGAATGGAATATATTTCAAATTTCAATGAAATTTTAATTAACTCTTTTCGTAACATAGCGATTTCAGAAAAGCCATTGATGAAACAACTATTGAATTAGAGTATTGGTGTCTCCGATATATAACGAGTACGGATAGATCAATCAAGCACACTCTAGTTTATGATCGATGACAGTTTGATCACTCTAGTGATCATTGGGAAGGAACGGCTTAGCAATAAACTTCTGCTGGAGACCTTCTATAAATCTCATGTGATTTATATCTTGAAGGATATAACCTTGACTAAGGTATAAATTCTAGTATATAATTCTGTAATAACAATAACAAGTAATTTTGAAAGAAAGACACTTGAATAATAACAATGTCATAAGAACACCCACACTCCCAACTAATTGAAAGCTTTTTATTTCTCAATATTCACTTTCTTTCACAAAAATCTCTATCTACAATAATTTTCAAAAAGAAACAAATTAAAAACTCAAAGTCAATAGGATAGAAGTATTGATTATCATATTTTAACAATAAAAAAATCGACAAATTAATAAACAAGTAATAAAGTATAATTTTTTCATTCATTCAAGTTTCTCATTAACAATTTTAATATTTTGATTAATTTGTTGAATATCCTGTTCTGGTATTGGTTGTTGTTTCTCAAATAAAAGTTGTGCTTTATTAAAATATTCTAAAGCCATTCGAAATTCTTCAGTTTTAACATAAACAGCTCCAATATTAGCATAACTTCTTGCAACATCAATATGATTTTCTGGCAATAATTTAAGTCTCATTTCAAGTGCTTTTCTTAAATTTGATAAAGCTTTGTCATGTTTATGTAAATCTGAATATGCAATACCAATATTATTAAATAATGAAGCTATTTGTAAATGATCTGAAGGTAATTGATTTGTACGAATTTCAAAAGCTTCTTGATAATGATCAAGTTCTTCATCAAATAAACATTGTTTACCATAAACTAATGCTAAATTATAATGAGCACATGCAACATGTAATGGTAATGAACTATATTTTAATGCTTCAGAAAAATGAATTTGTGCTTGATCAAGATTATCTTGTTGAGCATAAACAAGACCAATTGAATTATGTAAAGATGATATTATTAATGGATCATCTGGTTCCATTTCAAGAGCTTTTTCAAAATAGATTAATGCTTGTTCATAATCTTCACATGAATATGAACATAGACCAAGACCACGATAACATTCAAGTCTTGAAGGTGATTCAGAATTTTCTTTTAAAAGATGTTTATAAAATTGTTTAGCAGAATCCGGACATATTCGTCGAAGAAGATTAGCTAATGTTATTGGAGTATGATGATCATTAAGAAATGTGAATACTTGAGAAAAATCTTCATTTGTTCTTTCATCATATAATGTAAGTTGTATAATCCAACAATCATTATTAATATCAAAAATAACTGTATCAATTCGAAATATGGAACCAATAAAAAATAATGTTGTATATTCATCAGAAGAAAACTGTGTTACATCAATAAATGGACGTTGTTTATGAAATTTATAATCTGAAGGAATTTTAATTTCAAATAAAACTCGATAAATCAAATTAGTTGATGAAAAATTTTGACGAAGAAATGATAATGCATTATGACGATTTTTATTTGCTAAGAAAAAATTATTTATTGATAAAAGTTCACCTAAACAAAACTAATTAAATAAAATATTCAAAAATTTTAAAATTTTATTTTTCACCAATATTTGATTTAATTCTTCCAAATGTTTCTTCAGAAATAATTTGACTTCGATAAAAAATTTGTTCAGTTGATATTTGATATTTATTTGATGATGAACCAATATCAATCATTGCTTTATACATATCTTTAATAAAAAATCTTAATGTAAATAAAATTTTTAAATTTAATATTAATAAAGATTTTGTTAAAAATTTTCGAAGAAAAGTATTTCGTAAAAACCATATTAAAACATTTTTTGTTGAATTATATTCTTTATCAAATTCATCTATTTGATGTAATTCATATCGATTTAAACGATAATAATCTTCAATTAATTCAATAAGATGTATTTTATTTGATGAAGATGATTTTAAACAATATTCATGAACAAATAATTGATAAAAAAGAAAACGTAAATGATCATTTGATGAATTATTATTTTGAATAATATCACGTTGATTATAAATTGATATTGGTAGAAGATCACCAATATTCGTATACTTGTTCACATCAGATGATAATTCTTCCAATAGACTATCACGATCAAGATAAATACCTTTCACCTGAAGCAAAAAAAAAACAAAGTTTAATAATTAATCATTCAGATATCGGGCTCGCATAAAGAATGAGTCTTTTCTATTTTGTCATCTTCAGATTTTTTTACTGTTCCTTCATAGTAAAATTGATTTTTATTATCAATTCTAAATACTTCTATCAAACGATATGACAACATTAACTTTGTATCTGTACAAAAAAAGAAATTCCACAAAACTAATTCTATTATTTTACCTTAATTTCTATGTCGAAATCAAAGAGGAAAACACCGTACTTCAAGTCGAAAAGTACGTCAAAGTATGAAGAAATAATTTAAAATATTTTTCAATTTGATATACGATGTTCCATCTACGATCTTCTATGTTTTTCTTTTTCAAATTTTTCTCTGTTATTTAAGAATAATTTTTCTAGAGATTCTTGAAAATCTTAGAAAACAAAAGAAACAGAAGTCTCTCATACTTTGTTCAAATTTTCGGATATAATTAATTAACCGTTCTGATAATAAAGGTAAGAGAACTTTAAAATTCTGCTTTTATTTTATGAGATTTTTGAGTGTGTTTTTATTGATTTCAATACAATAGAAATAAATGGAAAGATGTTTTTTCTTTTTGATGTTTGAAAAACAATCAAAGATGAATGCGGTCTCGATATTTTCCAACATACACACGTTAAGAAAAACAAGAGCCATTAAAAGCACTTCAGTTGTTTTACAGTTCTTCAGTAATGATTCTTTCAATAAAAAATACTTAAAAAAAAGAAAAACAGAAGTTTTTGTTGTAACCTCCGAAGTTCTAAATTCAATTGTTTCCTACTTGAATTTCATTCATATTTTACTGTCACAATTCGGAAGGGCCAGCTTCCAATTTCATCCTCATTTCTTTCATTTTAAATCAAATGAAATACGAAGATTTTGAATATATTTTTTTATCGAAACCGAAAAAATAAGTTTCAAAATCTAATTCATTGTGAACTGAAATTGATTTGTCATATATTTTCAATTATTTTGACAACACATTATTCCAATAGACTAATCATGAAGAGGTTATGTTTTTCTGATAATGAAATTTTTTGTACTTTAAGTGCAAAACATAAACCATGTTCAGATCAAATCATCTCTCAATGTCATCAATTCAAAATATGAATTACTTAAGGAGATTCTGAACTAAGATCTTCGATTTTTAAGATATTCACTTTTGCTACAGAAACATGATGAAAGAGAATAGCTTTCATTTTTATATACAATCATCAGATTTTTAAACAAATAAGTTTTCATAATCAAACTGAAATGAATAGAATACATTAAGATTGTACTAGATACAACTTCTTCTGTATGTTTTGTATTACTAAAGTAGAAAAAATTCGGCTATTAATGTCTGGAAGTTATTCATGCTTTCAATTTTATTTCAACTAGAAATAATTGTTAATTTAATACTTCAATGGACTTATTTTAAATAAACATGAAGGTCTTCAATCTAATGATAATAATAACAACATTTTTTACACTCAATGCAACGAAACAATTAATAAAACAAAACGTGATACATCAATGCCTGTAATCTTTAAGCATTTTGTTACGTACGAGTCATCTTTTCTCCATTTCGATATTACAAAATTTTAAGACGAAATTGAATCTACTACGATCCGAATACGATTCATCTAGATTGCAGAAATTCATTTTCTTAAAAATCTAATAAGTGTATACGTGAATAACTCTCAGGATGTTTCTATAGTAACATTGAATATTTTGATTCAGTCTTATTATATGTGTAGCTCATATTTTGAACGACTTAGCTTGACAGTAAGAATAATTACCTTTGAATATCGTTTTGTCCATTTATCATCAATAGTATCTTTTCTATTAATATTTGATATATCTTGTTGAAGTATATAAATAGCAATAATTTGTGTTAAATCATGAACATGTGATACAATATTAGTAGCATATTGACTTGAAACAATAAAGAATAAATGTTCATTTTTATTTTTATTTAAAATAAATTGTTCACATTGTTCCAAATCATTAAAACAACAAATAAAATCAATTGTAGATTGAAATTTTTTATCATTATCATCAAAATCATTATCAAGATAAATAAGTGTAAATGGTTCAAAATTTTCCAATCTTTTTTGTTTTTGTTTAATTGATTTTTGTATTTTTTCTTGAGAAATAATTTGAGGTAATTTACTTGATTTATCAGTTGAATCATCTGTAATTATTTCAGAATTAGTTTTTGTATTACTAGTTGAAGATAAAATTGTAAAACTTGAACCAGAACCCATCGTTTTTAGTCAAAGTTTAATTGCTAAACCTTGAAATTCCGTCGTTATACAATGCTTAGCAGCAAAATGACTCACCTATATTTCTTTCCTTTTCTGCTTCACACTTTTCTTTTCTTTTTAATAGAACAATGACTCTCCAATGAGTTCTCTTTTTTTTTAATATTTTTTTTAACGTTCTTTTCTTGACGATGACGATACTCCATAACCATATTAAATACATTTCTTCTGTTATAACACTATTGAATAAATCATCTTAGCAAAGAAAATTTTGCTTAAATAAATGTTTTATAAGATAATATGATAATAATTATAGAACATTAGACATAATGAGATGAATACTCTTGATTTATTTGTATTGATTATTTAAATTTGAATTTATGATGTTTTTTTATTCTAATAATTAAAATTTATCTGTCTTGAAAATTTCAGCATTTAATTAATTAATTTAGTTTTCTTTTAGAATTTCAATAATTTTGAAGTTGTTAAATACTATTTTTTAGTTGTTTTGTATTCATCATCTATTTTATTCAACTTCTAGATTTAACTCATATTTTTGTTTATTTCCAAGACATTGTATGAATTTTCTATAGATGATAGAAGACACTGACAAAACTTGTTTATATCCAAAATTGTAACCAGATCAGTCGATCTTTACCAGTTGAAAAATATTTTATAGATATTCCATTTTTCTCTGATAAAACTTGTTGAGAGCAAATTTGCTTTTTCTTTCAAGAATTATTAGTTCTATTTCTTTAATCGAAGTATATTTTATTCAGAGCATTCTATTAACAAAAAGAGCTATGTGTGGGAGAAAATCTCAGGTCGAAATACCGTCATTTGATTTGTTGGTATACCATGCCAAAGGCTAAAATTCTAGTAAAATGCCTATAATTCTGGACAGAATGTCTAAAGAGCTTATCATTTTCAGATTTTTCATATCTCACTGAACTCTACCTTATGGACTGAGTCCGAATTCAAAAGCAAGTGATCAGTTGATAGAAAGATGACTTTTTTTTCGCGATATATACATGTCGTATTGAAGTTACGCCGGCCGACGAAGTTATAACTTCGTCGGCCGGCGTAACTGCAATACGACATATATATACAGGGTGGGTAAAAATGTTTTTTCAGGGGGAGTAACGCTGTGATTTTAAATAGAGTCAATAACAAATTTTGTACTAAATGAAAGCGCGTCAAAAATGGGATTAAATGGTAAGGATTCTACAAAACTTTTTATATCAAACATAATAAGTCTTTAAAAATAGGATGCATAAAAATGGTTTTCTACGAGGTAATACTATGATTTTAATTAGGGTCAATGATAAATTTTATATCAAATGAAAGGGCATCAAAAATGGGATTTGTCAATCTTTTTATATAAAACATAAGAAATTTATAGAAATTTTCGCTATTTTAGTATGAAAAAACTTCTTTCATGAGACAGTTCAAAAACTGAATTTGATTCAAATTGATAGTTTCCTACGAAGTAATGCTGCGAAAATTTATAAAAATTTGTTATGTTTGATATAAAAAGATTGACAAAACCCTTACTATTTAATATTGACAAATCCCATTTTTGATGCCCTTTCATTTGATATAAAATTTGTCATTGATCCTATTTAAAATCACAGCATTACCTCGTAGAAAACTATATTTTTTATACATCCTGTTTCTAGAGATTTATTATGTTTGATATAAAAAGTTTTGTAGAATCCTTACCATTTAATACTAGTAAATCCCATTTTTGACGCATTTTCATTTGGTATAAAATTTGTTATTGACTCTATTTAAAATCACAGCGTTACCCCCTGAAAAAACATTTTTACCCACCCTATATATATAGAGAGAGAGAGAAATATAACATATTCATTTTTGAAAAACCTAACAATGCAACAAGGAAAATGAATGTTTTTTGCAGCGACCGGATCGAACCAACTCTAAAAACTCTCGATCGGTTACAACTCTGGTTTGTATTCATTCGATTGCATGACAATTTTGCGAGTTTATTTTCAGTATTCATTTCAATTTTATGACCATTTTCAGTCAAATTCTTCCGAATAATTGCAAAGAAACTCTAATTTAAGACTGTTACAAACTTTGACTAATATCCTATTTAATAGAAAACTATTTATTACACAATCTGAAAAAATATTTTTCAACATGACGAAAGATTGATTACGTCAGTTATTGCAAAAAAATAAATAAATAAATCTTTGATGAATTTATACTTTTCATATACACAAGGCCATAAAAATTTTCAAACATCTATTACGAATGGATAAATGCAAGATATAGATGGCCTACTGAATCAAAAATCCTTTTCAATATAAATAAGATGTCGCTGTTAAATTTGTTTATTTCTCATTGCTTCATGATAGATCTACATATTGTTGATGAATGAATGAATGAATGAATGAAAAAAATGTAATAACAAAATTCTATTTTCGATCAAAAATTTTAAAATAATTTATTAATTTTTTTTATTTGAAACAATCTTTTAGATATGCTCAATATATTTAGTATCAAACAATCACGCTCTGGTGATGGAGCATCAAGCGATACTGGTATGAAAAAAACATCAGCTGCTCTACTACGTGTTACCAAAGGTTATTTTCGTTATTATGTTTTTTGAAAAACAATAAGTATTGATTTGATTGTTTTTAGATCTAAGCGAATTAGGTACATTACCACCAACATGTCAAGTAACATATCCAAATAAAGATGATCTTCTTCATTTTACACTTACAATCATACCTGATGATGTAAAAATTTTCATTAAAAAAAAAAAGAATTAAAATAAAAAATTTGATATTTAAAATTATTTAGGGTTTTTATAAAGGTGGTCGATTTATATTTTCATTTACAATTGAATCTGAATATCCTCATACACCACCTAAAGTAAAATGTACACAAAAAATTTATCATCCAAATATTGATCTTGAAGGAAATGTTTGTTTAAATATTCTTCGGTAATAGAATGTTTTTTTTCTCGTTTAAATTTGATTTAGTTATTTCTTTTTAGAGAAGATTGGAAACCTGTATTAACAATTTTATCTGTTATTCTTGGCATGGGTTTTCTTTTTTCTGTAAGACTTTCTGTTTTTTTAAATTCATAATTATTTAAATTTATTAGGAACCAAATCCTGATGATCCATTAAATAAAGAAGCAGCTGAAGTTTTAAAAACAAATGTAAACACATTTCGATCAAATGTTACAAAAACAATGGCAGGTGGAACATTAAATGGTGTTCAATTTGATCGTGTACTCATTCGATAATTTTATTCAAAATATTAATTAGACAATAAAACCAAGACATTTATTTATTGGAGAAATTTTCCTTTTGTTTGCTATGGATATTTAAAAAAAAGAAGAAATAAACTAGACTTCTAAATAAATTTTTAAATTTAAATTATGAAGAGAGAAAACGAATTGTTTGTTGCAAAATTTTTGTTTTTTGATTAATTCAGAAATTCTAAGTATGATGATGAAGCCTTTGTTCATTCAAATTCCTATTGTGCTCTTATTATTTTTTTTCGACTTAGCACTTCGTCGAATATTTCTTACATGGTTTTTTTATTAGAATAAATATTCCGTCTATTTTCTCCCTTCGTTCTTAGGTACAGATTGATTTCTTGCCCTTTTACTAATTACTTTAATGAAGAAACCTTGTTTAGTGATAAAAATAAGTTTTGAGATAAGTCTTATCTTATTATGTAAATCCTATTGAGACTAGAGAATCTATAGAAGGATTCATACCCATTAGTATTTCGTCTTGAGTTACGACTATGTTAAAGAGTTTTTCGACAAAATACCATTGATCAGATTCAAAAAATGACGTCCAAGCTCAAGCTTTGCACAAATAAAGTATTCATTAAGATTAGACTTCATTTTGAAAGTACCAAGTATTTTAATATCTTCTATCTTGAGATATACATTCTCGAAATTTCTATTTGTAGATTCTTGATTTTCGAGATTTTGTACATTCGAGATTTTTTTTCTGGATTTCCGATTTTCGAGATTTTTACCCATCGAGATTTTGCATGTTCAAGATTTTGCCTTTCGATCTTTTTCCTTTCGGGCAATTAACATTGATTACTTATAAACTATTGAAACACCTTTCATTTGATAAAATTTTGTAGTCAATCCGGTGAGTCAGTCGGATATTTCAGATTAAAATCTATTCCACAGATTCGAAAAAGCTATCATCGAACTTGAAAATTGAAAAGCAAGGAAACAATGTTTGAATTGTCTGTAAATCAACATTTTGTATACATAATTGATAGCTCTTGATTTTTTAATTGAATTCAAACGATGAGGCATTTCTTTAATCATGTCAAAGTATGAGTTAATTAGATTTTTAATGTGATTTAACGTGAGAAGAACTATTTTTGGATATATGTTGATTATGAAATGTTGTCTAGTGTCTTTTTTATTTAAAATAATACACGTATTAATTAGTTAGTACCTTCGATAGTTACTCAAGTTTTCATTCGAAAAATTCTCCCTTTAATTTCATGCAAATTTTCATTTAGATAGAAATGCATTGTAACAGACTCCCCATAGATTAGTAGGTATTTTCGCGAGAGAAATAAAACCGCTCAGTTTGAGTATAAATTCTCAACTTTCTTATTAATATTGACACCCTTGATTGTTCCCTCTGAAATTTAACATTACAAAGCAAGAAATGATATTACAACGTTTGTTGTTTAGAAGTAATGTGTCAGATTTTTAAAGTTAAATAGTCAACAAGAAAAAGCAATGAAATTATCGTCATTTTCGTCGTCGCTAATGTTTTCATGATAGGACAGTCATTATTATTATCATTCGATGCATTCGTATGATTTTTATACTCATCTCTTAAACTGTAAAAAAAAAAGTAAAGGGATGATGGCGGAACTAGTATTCTCAACATTATATGCAGAATATGTCTGGAATCATGAACTATTTTTTTCTTCACTGATAATATTAATTCCTTTTGTTGGTATGCTATTTTTATGACCATAGTGAAATAATCAGACATTGTGAGTATATTTCTTTCTTCACAATTTAAAAAAGATTCAATTCGATTGATGAAAATGAATCGTTTCTACTAAAATATCTCGATTGTTAATCAGAAAAAATCGAAAAAACGATATATGATATTTGTCTTCTTCAAATATGTCGGTAAGAGGTGTACATCAAATCGAATATAGAAGTGTTATTTCTGCTATTGAACAATATGACAGAGTAAAATCTGTTTTTAAAGCATATCGAGATGTATAATTTTTCTAGTATGGAAGTTAGGATCAAGGAAAACATATTTGCTCAAGAAAAAATTTTTGATGTAGATGAAAAAACTCTGGATAATGAAATAGAAGAGGGCATTTCTTCAATCAAGGTTATTAATACATTTTTGAAGGTCAGCCAATAAAGAGAAAGGATCTTGATTAATTAAAATAAAATCCTTGTTAGATAGAAATTCTTGTTCTAGTAATAAAATAACAGATCGTACGTAATTCTCTTTTCGCTTTTTGGAGAAATTGTAAATATGTGTAATGTTATTCTATTTTAGATTCCTCTGGTGATTCGGCCCATTACCGGTCAGTATCCTCACTGTTGTTTGGGTGTGTCTGTCATTATATCGAGACCAAATACTTTATCAGGTCCAGTGGTTTATTATGGCGATTGTCTCTTACAAGTCTAGTTGATATGCCGCCTTGTTCCTGATTAGAACTAAAATTGATGTGAAGGTTGTATGTAACGTAGAAGACATTGTTGAAAGTTTCTTCTATACATTCTACAAGTGGTCCGATTCTTTGTGATGGACCTTATCTTTCACTAGCTATCTGTTCAACAATATCTCTTCGATTCCCTCATGTAGCTTCTTCATTTATCTCTGCGTCAATCGATGATCTACCACGAGAGGTGTGTGACTACTAATGCAAATTGTATCCGAGAAATGAGTGAAACTCCATCATATAAAGAAGTATTCATGCAGCTCATGTATCGCCATCTATCGGCAGGTATCTGCATTGCCATAACAACATATGTATCCCTGAAAAACTTAAAATTCTAGCATTCATGTACTGGCAGATTTTGGTATGTGTTTAGTAGTATGCACTGATGAGTACACGAACTGTAATGAGCAGCGCAGTACATGAAGTCTAGGTTTCTTGATTTTTCAAAGTTATATGCTTTGTTATGGCGACACATGTACATGCACTACGTGGTGGAACATGAGATTACATATTAAGACATGTCAATGCTACTTCTACTCGTATTGGTGAACCTCTGATTACTTCTGATGACTTTATTGGAATGCGTGCTATCTGTTGATAGAATCAGTAGGAATGATGAACTGAGCTCATCTTCGTTCACATATCAGTATTCTATGTCTGATTGTAAAAGAGTCAATATGCGTGAAAAAGATCATAACAGATGAAATGAATTCGTATCTAGAAACAATTGAATGAGTAAAATTTCACAAGATGTCTATTGTCAAATCATCTGAAAAGATTTTCCTTAGAGCAACAATAGTTTGAATAATGCAATGAAGTTCTCACACGCTGCTCTATTAATACTTGTTCCATTCTATGCAGAATTCTTCTACTAATTGTGAGTAAACCTTTCAAGAGAAAGTTCAGTTGTATTCAAGATACGTATACATGCTGAAGAGTTGATGTGACAACACTGACGGAGAATCCCTTTATTCTTAATATTCGAGATCTTGCAATGAACAAAGCATGACAACGTTTGTTTATTATTACTTTCAATCAATGCATCTTGATAGTTGAGACAAGCAGTATTCTACACTATTCGAATACAATATATAGAACCGTCGTTCTTCGTCATATACAACCATGTTTTATCATAATTTTGAAGCTTGAGCTGTGCTTGTTGATATCACTTGATGTATCTCGTCAGAAGCGATTTTTTAATTACTATAGAATATCATCTTGATTCACAACGTTCTGTTGCGCACGTTAATGGCTGTAAGATTCGTTATGTTCATGCACATTAACAGATGAAATGAAAGACTCTAAGTGGTTGAAATTGTTGATAGAATTCATCTTATATCGTTCTTATATTTCTTGTTTGTCTTTCACAGATTTCTACTGGTGATGAAGAGCTTTAACTGATTGCCCAGTAAGTCTTCTAGTTTCATAATAAAATTTCGACCTAGCCATTGGAATTTGTCATTTTCATGGCATTGCAAAGTACCTAACCAGCTCGCATCCTTTTATAGCTTGTTTTTGGAACATTGACTCTAACTTCAATCTTGAAGCGGGTTGTCTCTCTGGATCTGAGCACTTTGCCTTTGTCACACCATTATGACCCGTCTGAAGTGATGTTACTTCTCCTTTAATTGATATTTATCGAATCTTCCACTGACGAGAGAATTGGATTGAAACGAACAATATAAACATGAGTGTCATCTATCAAAGCTGTCAATTCGTATGATCAATAAATTGTAATCGGCAAGAAGGGTACCATCTTGCTCCATTTGAACTCTATTGTCGTTTACTTGTCTTTGTCTGACGACGAGAAAAATAAGTTCTGTGCTGTTGCACAAAACATTACTCAGTTTTCGTCTGCTAGATTCGACATTGATACGTTCGGCATGACGTAATGAATACGGACATAAATCCTAGTCAAAATGAACAATGTCACCCCGGTTGTCATTATATGTCTACCTATTCTTCATATGCAAATTCTTTAACATAAACAAAATTGAAGATGCGATACAAAAATATTTAATTAGATTGTTTCTGTTGGTAATGCGCATTTCTTGCAGTGCCTTTTAAGAGAAATAAACTAAAGTAGTGCCGGATGGAGTACATCGACAAAAGGATTACTGCCACGATCATATTTGCTGAGTAAACGAGACAACAATTGTATATCCACTGGTGACAGTACGATGTTAGATCGCTCGGATTCACCGACTGATAGCGAGAATAGGTTGTGTACACGATGGAAACAATCTTTAACTTAGAAATATATCGAGCGGAAATTTCTTTTCTAATGACACTTACCTTCAATGCCCATAGAAGTCCGACAACGCCGTAGATAGCCAATATGATAAGGGTGTATAGAAGATAGTACAACTGTGTTCCTTGATCGTCAGTTTTAAAGTAGCTAATCACCACCTAAGAATCAAAAAATATACCTTGCAAATGTAGACTCGGATCTCTGACATCTTGATGCAAAGGTTTTGTAACAGCTTCTAAAAGTATGACATCTTCTGAACTTAAGGTGATGACATCTTGAATTCAGAATGTCAAAAAAACCGAAGACAACTCAAAAAGTGATTTCAAGAAAAAATTTTGAGTGATCAAAGTTTGAAAAAAAGTGAAAATACAATGAAATCTTTTCGACGTCCAAAGAGCAGGTATAAGTATGCTAAGGCATTATCGGATTGACTTCCAATATTTTCAGTTCTATGTTTACAACGCTATGTAGATAGAACAAGAACTTTGATTTGTGAGTGGACACAATAGCAGAAGAGATCCATCAATATCATTAAGATTCATGTATTGTCGTCCACCTTGTTGCTGAGAATTTCGACGTGCTCCTTGATGTAGAGAAATCCATTCTTCTTCTTCTTCTTTCCTTCTATTTCATACTGATTATCATGAGTCATAGCTTGCTCATAACAGCAGAACGAAGAATAGAAATGTTGAAGGAAAAAAGTCACTAAAAGCGGCGAAGAAGACACTAGGAGATAAACAAGCGATATTCCCGCTTGTGGTATTGTCCTTTTCGATAGTTTAATCATTTAACTTTTTGTTGCAAGATTTTGCTTCTATAACTTTTGATTTTTTCATATGTTACATCTTCGAAATTTTATTACTGAACCAAAGCTCTTTCTATATCTTTTGCTATTTCCTTTTTTCGATCCTTTTCTTTCAAGACTTTTTTCTTCCGAGATATCGGATATCCATTATTTCAAAAAGTTTTCTTTTTGTTCGATTGTACTCCAACGAATATTTGATGCTTCAATAAAAACAAATTATGATACTTACAAGAATTACACAGAGAAAAAGGCACGCTAAGCTGACGACACCGAAATGATAAAGCCCGTAAGGAAGGAGTGGTTGTATCGGACAGTCGTTGTATTTTGCGATGCTCACAAAGAAAGAAGCAATCGGTATAGGAAACTGGACGATCAAAATCGCACCCAATACGATAAGTCCACCAGAAAACTTGCGGCGCTCCTATAATGCGAATAACTATGAGACATTCACAACAAAATATATTCATTGACTTACAAGAATAGCAATTACAAAAACACACGCTAAACCAAAGATGAGCAAACGGTCGATGCCTCGTTGAAGAAGTGGTTCGACAACATATTGTTTAAAGCCAAAGTAGAAAGAGTACGGCGATACATCATAGAGAAGACTCGCAATAGTAGCAAGTGCCAATGCAGCTAGAATCAATTCATGCACACGTTTCATCTTTCGATAAAATGTTTTACTTTAGCAGGATTCTTATTATGGTTCGATAATAGAAAGGTAATGTCACACATTGCCACGTGTACGAATTATGACAACGTGGTAATGAGCACATACCTGTGAAAGAACGGGAAGAACGAAAGATTTACTCATGTAATATATGACACACGCATGAGGTGAATCAGAAAAGGTTATTCTATAGCTGTATGCATAAAGAGAATCAACAATATATGATAGTTTTCATGTGAATCTGATGTGTTCAAATCTGCGATGGGAATGGTGATGATTAGTTGAGTACGAAAATATGCTCATCTGTATTCTGCCAAAAAATCAATGCAATAGTAAGTCAAGATTATTGGATGATATGCAGTGAATTTGTGATGTATATTACAGATACTATATTTGGTGAGTTGTAACTCCATCTTCGAGTTCGGACTAAAGATGGTTTCTGAAAGTTCTTTCGAAAAACTCGACTCATTCGGTTAATAAGTTATTTCTTCTTCATCACTTTCATATCATTCATTACTGAGACTTAGTCCAAAATTTGGAAGAGTAGTCGAGTGAAAAAAATCTTGTGATATCACATATGTTCACATGTACTTTTCTTCCGGCTGTTTGCTGCTGAGGATCTTAGACGTATTCGTCTTTTATTTCAATTTCTGTTGACACAAAAAAAAATATTGTCAAGAAAAATTCAATATAAATTAATCTATGTTATTTCGTGACGAAGATTTCTTCTAGAAATAGATCCTTTTCTTTGATGATTTCTCTTCTCTATGTGGGTTGTGGTTGTGGGTGTTGTTGTTGGTAATAGAAGATTATCATCCACACCCTTGCAAAATTCCATGTAGTGGAACTCATTTCTCTTAATCTGGAATATCAAGTGAGAAACAAAACCTAAAAGATAGTTTCTCTCAAAAGAACAGCACATTGACTTCGTCTACAGTCAAATTGTTAGTCGATAGTTAATTTTCTTGTTACTCTATTCGAATCGAGCGAATCTCTGCACAACTGTTGGTCTGTTGGCAAATACAAATGGATAAATAATTTTTTTCTTTCAAAAACGTCGAGGTCACACGTGTTTCTTTTTCAATCGTTCGACGACTCATACCTGTTCTCTTTCTTCATTTCGAGCATTAAAACAAATAACAATGAAGAAACAAAACTGATAATCAACTCACTAATAAAAAACTATAAAAAAAACCACGTGATACAGTAGAGGTAAGTGTTCATTTTTCCTGTTCTGACATCCGTTATCATATTCACATTGAAGATTGAGAAAAACTATCAATAGGTATAAAGGAAAAGTTCACAATTTCGAATCAATTTCAAAACGAAACTTTACACATTTTTCTCGTTTTGTTGATCCTCATCATATTAAGTCCATCATCCTTTTTGATGCTTATACAAATATGGATTATATCACTTAGCTTAAAAAGTGATTTTCAAAGGAAAGATTCACCAGATTTTGATTTGCGATGTTAATTATAAGCGAAGAAAATAAGTTGCGAAATATTTTTGAAACTTCTGAGTGTTCACAGAATTGTTTCATTGTCACTCGAGTTTGCAAAAGTTGACAAACTGGGATTGGTGAGAGTGAGTGTCGGTGAAGACAAGACCATCATTGACATTCATTCATCCAAAATGAAATTAATTGACCTGTCAAATATACACTGTAACACGTAGCAGTCAATGTAGATGATTGGAATATTTTTAAGAAGCAGTAACGGGTCTTCTCTTCATTCGAGTTTCTTCACTCATTTGGATCTAACCCTTATCGTCAGAAAAGTGGCGAGTTTTCTTTAACACAGAGATTGAGATTATTACGACTGACTACTTTTACTCAGTTTTCATGAAATCGATGAATTCTTGAAACTGGTCTGACACATAGAGTCATCTATTTCTTTTTTTGTTTAATATCATCATCTATTGCCAAACACCTACTAGTTTTCGACTGGTTGGACAGCAAACGAATGACAAAGCGCTAATGTTAATCATAACTGACGCAAGCAACTGTACATAATCGTAGTGCGTACGAGTGAATCCAGGTCCAGAAATCATATAGAAAAATGTAAGCAGCAATCAAATTCTACACACGAGCATTTTTTTTTCATGTTAGGTTTTTTGTCAAAATACTGTTCGAAGAGTTCATATCTAGGATCACTTCGAATTTATCAATTAGAAACCAATTTGTTAGACTCATTTTGAAGAGTCTTTATTTTCATTTAGTTATTAAATCAACAGATTTTTACACCCTGAATATTCTAAACCTATAATAGTTTAATAGAAAACGATCCATTATACATTTGATTCCTTCAGAGCGATAACACAGCACATTGTCTTTCTTATCATCATTATTGCGATAAGTAGGTAAACAAGACATTGACTGTCTATTTCTTATTTTCGTTCTTCTAGAAGTATCATGTTGTGTGAAATTAGCCATGGGTTTGGTAATAATTTCTTGTTCATATGGTTTACACTCAGTATAATTGCTTTCAGTGTTTTAATGCTTATATCAAGTGCCATTTTCTATTATTTCTATGTGCAAATTACGTATGAAAAATGGCTACAGAAATCAAATCCAAAATATCCATCTCCTAGTAGTGTTCGTATGGAAATTATTCTGATGATGAAAGGTATTCTAGCAGGTACATTTTGTCCAGCGTTAACGTTATATTTAATGAGCAAAAAACAGCTCAAAGGTTACTGTGGTGTTGATGAATATGGCTGGGGATACTTGATAGTTAGTTTCTTTATTGCCTGGTTATCAACAGATTTTTTCGAGTTTTTATATCATCGAATGGGACACACAATTGATATGCTTTGGAATGTACACAAATCTCACCATCAATTTTATAATCCAACACCATTTGCTGTCATAGCAGAAGATTATGTTGACCAAATTGTTGGAGCATCTCCATTAGTCTTCATACCAGCATTGGTTCCAATTAATATGGATCTACTGTTCTTTCAAGTAAGTAAATAATCAAGATGAGCAGAAAGCAGTGTTTCCATAAAAGAGACGAGAGTGAATATAGAATTTCAAAACAATTTCTTGAAAGATAACTTTTTCTAATTTTCTGTGACAAACAACAATGATTTAATTTGTAAAAACAACGATAGTATTTGGATAATATTTTCAAAAAGTGTCAGTCACTACATACTGAAGATCAATTATTTCACCTTGCAATCAGATAATGATGAAATGATTCGACGACATAATATCAGTAGATTTTTCTGTTTTAGTTTGCTATCTTTTTCTACGGTTACGGTGTTTATCTTCATTGGGGTCATGAATTTTCCTATCCAGACGCTCATCATTCTGTGCTCAATACGTCCTTCCAGCACTACTTACACCATGCTGTTTCCACTAAAAACAAACCTTACCATACTGGGTTTTTTTTCAAAATATGGGATCAACTCTTCGGCAGTATCTATCCCGCTGAAAAATGTTTTTGCGTCAAATGTCAACGTGTACAAGGTTATCGTACGCGTGAACATTATGACAAAGTGGAGAAGCCAGACTATCGAATCTTATTACAATGGAGCTTTTGGATGAACTCGAAATCAATCTAATATTGCATTGGCAATCGACTTTTATACTGCACTATTTGTATTCATAGAATGATAGAAGCATTTTTGTATTTTTGTTCTTATTTCTTCTTCGCTATTTCGATTTTTAAGTGTTTCATATTTTACATTCAAATGATTTCTTCGATCGAATCGTATAACTTAGGATAATATGAATTAAAAGAAATTGATATTCCCATGTCATTTCATCGAGAAACTATGTAGAACATAAAAAAGTGAGACACTTCTTCTTGACACATCGATGCAGATGGAAGAATTATACTAACGACATTGCATTGATTCTGATTACAAATCATCATTTTTCAGACAGTTCACAATTTTGTGTCGTGTTGCGAGGTCATTTTTACTCGATTCCGTAGCTGACTCTACGTATATATGGGCGCGATCAACCGTACTGATGCTCCAATATTCATTTGTTTATGTAACTTCAACTATTTATCAGAAAAATGTGATTTTTTTACCAATTATACCACATATATAATGCTACTGATTTGTTACTATTTCGAGTATATATACTAATAGAAATGAGAATTTTTAAGCACGTTCTTAGAAATATTCTATCAAACGTACATCATATGGTACTTACTGACGTCTCGTTTTCGGTATATATTTCATGTGCGATAATATTTCATTCACCCTATCTTAGCTTTGTGTTAAGGTTAGATCATCCTTAGTTTAACTATATTATTTTTTCACTTTCCTTCGTTCTTCATTTTCTTTAACATACTTCTACTAGATAACACACGCTTAATATTCTTGGACTATGTCTTCTTCACAAATCGAATGGGATTATTCTCGTTGTGGATCTACTCCAACTGATCGTCGAAAATATTGTGCCAACTGTCATTCGATGTTAACTTGGACATGTACTGGCTCAGGAAAATCTGGTTTGTACGCGAATTACTGTCGTCATCGTGACAGCTGTGTTTATTGTACACCAGAACTTGAAGAAGAAAAACAACAGAAAATGAAGGAAAAGCAACAACAGTTTCAAGCTTTAGATGATAGTAAGCAACACTACTCTTCTTAGTTTACACCTGTATCTCTCATTCTATTTATATTGTAGGACAACGTCCTTGGTCAGAATGGAGACGCACTGATACATCTTGCATACAACACACTGGGCATGATGTCGAACAAGTACAGGAATTGTACTCGATGTGTGAACAAACACTTATAAATTATTGTTGGCATAGAAACGAACAACTTACGAACAGTACCACCACATCATATTTATCTCCTATGAATCTACTTGTGGCTACATTAAGGCACTTAAAATACTACCATTCTGAACGTTATATTGCTTCAGAATTGAATTTAAGTCAACCAGCAGTAAACTATTTCTTATCAGCAGTTGTGGATATTTTACACTCCTGTGTATATCCAGAATTAATTTCATTACCTGTTGATCTAGCAAGCAGAAGAAAATCACATGGACCTGAATGACAGCATAAATTAATCGTCGATTCGACTTTTATTGCGATATCTGAACCTTATGATTCAGAAGAACGCAAAGCATATTACCATGCGAAAAGTTCAACAAATTACGCATTAAAAGTACAAATAGCTTGTGATTTTCGTCATTAAATAGTACACGTATCCAAATGTTATCATGGGAGTGTACATGATCTTACAGTTCTACGAGAGTCAGGTCTATTAGAATACGTGAACGACTCTATACAAATTATTGCTGATAAAGCATATATTGGTGAAGAATATGTGGTTATGCCAAGAAAAAAACCTCATGGACGTGAATTAACAGATGAAGATAAAGATTTTAATATTGATATTAATAGTGCAAGGGCAGCTATTAAAAATATTATTCAACGTCTTAAAACGTATGCTATTTTTGGTGTTGTTTACAGAGGAGCTATCGGTGACTTCCATAAGGCAACGAAAATCGTACAAGTCATTTCTGCACTATGTAATCTGAACTTAAATAAACATTCTATTCGTAAATAATCAAAATGACAAGTTGTATTTTCTGATAAGCTACTTGATAATATGATCCTTCTCTTGATCTTTCATGTTGTTTCAATTTTCCTAGTGGTGGACTGTACACATTAACTCCAAATAGTAACAAATCAGTAGCATTATATATGTAGTATAATTGGTAAAAAAAATCACATTTTTCTGATAAATAGTTGAAGTTACATAAACAAATGAATATCGGGGCATCAGTGCGGTTGATCGCGCCCATATATATTTAAGCTACTGTAGATTTAGATTATTGATATATTCTTTGAATACACATAGTAGTTAATAGTTACAAGGTGTTTAATTGTTTCAGAAAACAATTGCATCATGCTCATGAAAACACTCATAGTTGAAAAAAGAAATCAATAATCAACAACACAATAGTTAATGTCGATGGTTTGTCATGTTCTGCTGAAGACATTTTCGAGGAATCGTCTCAAATATATATTTACAGACAATAAAAAGATTGTTTTTCTCGACAAAACTATACTTGTTTATTTAATATTACTTTCGGTTCATTCGTTGCCAGTTAATGTTTCATTAATATCCCCATTAGTTTTCATATATCTATACATCTATATATATTTAATCGTGTTCATTAGTCCAGAAAACGAGAATATCAAAATCATACCTATATTTGGTCACTTTTATCCAGTTGTGATGAGGTGTAGAGCTTCTGTTTACTCACATCTACACCCATCCACACTATCTGACAAGTCTTCTATCAGTTGATCGAACAAATCTTTACTTGTTAGTTTATAACTTTGGCATACTTCGGTTAAACAATACAATTTTGAGAAAGAACTTATGCAATAAGATTAGACAATTTATTCAAATAACACTAACAAGATTTATATTAAATAAAGTCATTCTAATAATTAGCAATGTGAATATCAAAGAAGAGCAAAGTAATATTACAAGTTTTGTACATATAAACAAAAAAAAAATAGATAGACTAAAGCCATAAATAAACTTCCCATTTGTTATCTTTAAAATAGTCAAATTGACATAATTTTGTATTCTGTTCCAACCATTGACGTGTTACCATTCGAGGATTTAAATTATTGATATCACCATAGTGACGAATTGATACATTCGATAATGTCATTGTCATAGTATTAAATAATCTTGATAGATTTCGAACACTTTGACGATCAAATTCCAATTGCTTCAGACGAGTAAATGAACGCCAAAGTGCATCGATTTCATTTGATGATAATCGTTTAAATGGACCAAGTGAATCAATCTTCATGTTGAGATCAAGGATTTGTGGCCAATGTCGATTAAAAAATAAGATGAGAGTCGAAGTATGCAAGCAAAGTGAACGTAGATGTGGAAGATTATGAAGAATTCGTACAAATTCATTATTTGACTGTTTTGTTTCCAATTTGCCTTGTACGAAACTAGTAATTCGTGACAAATCGATGCAAGTGATAATATTTTTAAATGAAATGTCAAAATCGCTTTCAACAATTAACGTATGAGCATGTGTAAACCGACGTAAATGTGCTTGTGACATTGGTGATTGAATGTCAAAAAAGATATATTTAGTATGCGGATATGTCGTTGGTTCTAATCCAGTTGATTCTGTTATCAATGTTTTCTTCACAAATGGTAATGGATAATAATAGCCGTTAAAGCATGGATTTGTATAGAGAAATGAACAAGAAGTATCGGTCCATTGATCAAATGTAACATACCATTTCTTTTCTTCGAGCCAGAATTGAGTACGAAAAGTATTAAGATCAATATTCATTTCATTTGAAATTTTAAATATGAACTGAAATGCAATTATTCTAGTTAATAATGGTATCCATACATTGCCATTAATCATATCATTATCTGCATTATCAATATCAAGACTAAGATAAGTAAGACAAGTCATTGATGAGAGTAAATGTCTAATTTCGAACATAGTCATACGATTGTTGTTGATCGATAATTGTTGTAAATTAATAGATGGTTGAAAAATTGTGTCAATTTCATAAAATTGAGTAACAATCAATTTGACATTGAGTTGACGTAACATAGGTGCAATAGCAAAAATTTGATGTAAATTAATTTGAATACCTATTACTGTTAAACATTCAATAGTAGATGTTTGTATTAAAGAAGATGTTGAAATGATTATTGTTTCATTCTGACCATATAATGTCTCAAGAAATAAATGTTTTAATGATTTTACATTGAATAGAAGATCGTGAAAAATCAGTGACATTAATGTTGCTGTGGATTCATCTAAATCATCAACAGAATAGATGAATATTGATCTTAATGATATAAATGATGGTAATCGAGTTCGAATCAAGTTCCATATATTTGAATCGATCTTATTCAAAGTAATTGAATGTAAATTTGGAAAAATATCATTCATCGTAATTGAACAGAAAAAATGATTGATTTTTACATCTGTTATTATATTATCATCATTGTCAAAATTCAATGAAAAGATTCGAGATGCCAGATTGGATAATTTATTACAGATAAAATCAAATTGTTTTTTCTTTTTAGCTAAACTATTGAAATCGAATCGAAAACGAGAATAGACAAGACAGATAGAATAAAAACGTCGATTGATGAGACATATTGACAAGAGAATATCAACAATGGATATATAATCGAAAATCTTTTCAATCAATTCAACAGGCAAAATACTTAGATAATCTGACATTTTCTATGTTTGTGTTTATTCAATAAAATATCGCTATTTATATTTGAGAAACAAACAATAACCGTCACACTCGCCGCTTCAATCAGTCATATATATCATATGAAGTACATACAATTCCAGTAATTATTTTTCTAGAGATGATATTTGCCAAGCAAATCAGACGATTTCTTTCTGCCTATGGCATATTTCGTCGAAGTAAAATAACAGTTTTTTTTATCTTTGCTAGATTGAATGGAATCTAATTAGAATGAACTATAGATCATATGAAAGCACGAAACATTCACATTTTGTTCATTGAAATAAAGTTCATTTGATATTTTGTCTATGAGAAATTGCATTCAATAAAAGAATCAATTACAAATTTCCGAAAAGAATGACTTTTACAGAATGTTAATACACGATATCAATCAAGAAAAGTCGTTTTCTATTCGAAAATTGTCTCAGAAGTCATATACTTTGTTTTTAGTTGATAAAGAGTATTTCATAATAACTGAGAATAAATTGTTAGGGTTTTTTTTCACAGTAGAAATAAAGCAAAAACCTAATACAAAAATTTATGTATTTCGATCTTGTCGATGTAAGTCAGCACTAGTTTATAGCTAGAGAGTTGAAACTTTTAGAATTAAAAGATTTTGATTAGATATACTATATGTGACAAAAATTTCATTTCTCTACATCAAACAAAAGTATGAAAAATATCAGTAACAATTTATCGTCTGTTATCAGAGTTACTACCTCGTCGGACTTGAAAAGCGAAAAGGTGGTGTCGAAAAAGTGGAATCTCATACCAATTAGATTGACAGACCTGAGGGCTTGTTAGAAGGATGTGAGTATGGGTATGAATTCTCTTTTCATTCACCCACACTTTCGAAGATCGGCATATTCCAAGGCTGGAAAGGTGCCATTTGAGATGGCTATACACTACAAAATACATCAAAAGATGATCTGATACTTTGAATGTAAACGACTGTCGTACATAACCATAGTATAAGGTCATTTATAGTCGTAATTTAGTTGTTAGTTAGGCTGCTGTAGTTAATGTATATATAGCATTTGCGTTTTAAATTCAGCAAGTAATTTAATAGCACGTTTATTGAGAAAAATAATTTTATGGTTCTTTTTTTCCATTTAGTTTAATTGAAAGAATAAATTGAATAGTAGGTAATTGTTTTCGATAGAAATAATTTTTTTTCTTCAATTTAATTTAAATTAAAGTTGCATTGTAAGTATTGATTTACAATAACTTAATATTTGTTGTTTTTATATGAGAGTAGAAGAAGAGTAAGTCACTTTTCTCTTCATGGAAAAGTAACTTATGTGAATATAATGACATACTGCACCGTATATGACACAACAAGATACATGGGTGTAATTCTCGAGCTAAGTAATATGACGAAATACGACCGCTTACGAGAGCCATAGTCTTCATCCTAGGATCCCGTTTATAGTAAATCTATCGAAATATTAATTAGTATAAATTGTTGTTTTCATATGAAATAAAATCGCAACTACGGATAACTTACAGAATTTGATAAATGATTACCGATTTTTTTTTTCTCCATTGCAGTATTACTAAACTTTGAGAAAAAGCTATGCGCTTGTTAGATTCTAATAGGGTCGATAAATTTCAGCAAGATTCTGAAAATGTTCTGTCTAAAAAATCTAGTGATATGAATAGTTATCATATTCTTTTGTTTTCATACCAAATTGTGAATACCAGAAAAATCGAATATCTCAATTCACGCTTACCATAGACAGCACATATTTTAAACACATTAGTTTCTCAACAAAAAAATGATTAGATGTTGTTATGCGTTCAATTGAAATGGCTTTTTATTAATTTCATATATTTATAGTTGATTATAGTCTTGTTTAATTTTAGGTTTTTTCGAAATTAATTTATTTGTAAAATAAACAAGAAGAAGAAGAAGAAGAAACCAAACAAGCACAAAAATCAATCAAAAGAGAAAGAAAGAAGAATGTATTCACTGTGTGTATGTTAAAATAAAATCAATGTGAATATCATGGAACAAAAAAAAAAATAAATTGTCTTAATCTTTATTATTATTATCATCATCATCATCATCATCATCATCAGTATTTCTAGTATACCAATTTTTAAATGGACTTTCAGTATGGTTATCAGTTGTCGGTGGAACAGAATTTTGAGTTTTTTGATCATTTGATCTTGATGTTTGATCTTGAAGATCATCTAAACCAATAAGAGGATCAACTGGTTCTTTTCTATCAAGTTCACTTGATGGTCTCCATATATTAGTATTTGTTTGTAATTCATTACTTGTATTATTTTGTTTGTTATCATTTTCAATAGTGTTTTGAAGACCACGTCGAGTTTTTGGTCGAGATAGTGATGAATCGAGTTCAGATTTATTATTTGAATTTTGTTTGTCAAACATTCTATTATATTCATTATCTTCATCATCAGTTGAACTTGCAGATGAATGTATTGATGGAGATTTTTCATCATTTTTAGGTTTCGTTGTCACTAGTTGAAGTGATTCAGATGATGAAGATAGATTTTCATTCTTTGTTGTTAATGGAGCTTGTTTTTGTTGAATATTTTCGTCACTTTCAGATCGTGAAGATGCACGTTTGCCTGTGTCAATATTACGAGGTGTACCTTAAATACATATTTTAATAAAATATCGTAATCAGAATTTTATATAAATCTCAAGTTTTTCACCAAAGTAACAACTTTCATTCGTTTGGAAAATAGAACTTTGCTGAGTGGTAGAATTTATAGCATAGATAAGAATTATAAAGACAGTAAATGAAGAAATATCAGTCTAACATTTCTTTTGTCTATACATAGATTTAATATCTCCGAAAATTTCCATCAACATACAAATCCTCGATGTAATGCATACGTCCGATAAAAATCCAATCTCAGCCCAGGAACGTTCAGTTCAAATGGCATGAAATTTTCAGAATATGTTGGGACTGTAGTAGAGAAGCTATGTTAAAAATTTTAGCTCGATATCATGAGATTAAAAGGAGATATTGGCTAAGCAACGGTCAAAAATAAGTCTTTTGGCAAACCAAATTTCTCTGTCCAACTTCATTCTATATATTTAATTTCTTTTTCTGTTTGAAAGAGCATGTCAGGATGCAGTGTAGCATAGAGCCCTTTTTTATAAATTCTTACTTTTTTAGGGGAGAATATGTTCCGAAAGTTCAATGACTCAAAAAACTCTAAAAATGGCGTTCTAATTATATAAATGTTTGTATATATAGTAAAAGTAAAGTTTAATCAGAAAAAAGGGCTCTGTACTGCACTGCATCTTGACGTGCTCTTTCAAACAAAAAAAAATCAAATATATAGAATGAATATTGATAGAGAAATTTGAATTGCACGATCAAGAAACTGTAAGTGGAGAAAAAAACGAAAAAATGATTTTCTGTTTGTTCTGAAAACAGTTGTATTGGTACATAAGTTCTGCACGTTTGGATCAGTAGAATTATATCGCCAATATAAAACAACATTTTAAGGCAAATAATTATATATTCTGATAGCGCTCGGAATTCTCTGTTACCCTGCATATTTAAGTCTTGACTTACATCTATTGACTAAAAAGTATTTTGAGTACAATGAAGACACCGTTACCCTCGGATTTCCACGAACTCCATTTTTTGTTCCGTTCTCATGTGTTTTTAAAATTTTTATCTATACAGTAATGCGTTTTTTTTAGAAAAGTAATTATATATTCTGAGAGCTCTTGAAATGCTCTATCGCTCTATATATTCAGATCTTGACTTGAACTTATTTGCTGAGAAATATTTCGAACATTGCCAATGCAGACGAGGGTATCTTCACTGTATGCAAAATATTTTTCAACCAATAAATGTAAGTCAAGGTTTAAATATACAGGGTGATAGAGAATTCCGAGCGCTATCAGAATATATAATTACTTGCCTTAAAATATTGTTTAATATTGGCGATATAATTCTATTGATCCAAACGTGCAGGATTTATATGCCAATACAATAATTGAATTTATGGAAAAGATGTTTCTTTTTTTGACTGTTAATAATCAAAGTCTTTAATAAAAGTTACTTTGTCCATCATCATCATCATCGGATTGTTTTAATTCAGCTTGAAAAGTTTGTTCAGCTCGTAAATCAAAATCATTTCTTATAAGAGAATTTTTACAAGGAAAAATTGTTTCTTGATCTGTTTCTTTATTGATTAAAACAATCTAAAAGAAAAATTTTGTTTAAATAAAAAAACAAAAAGAAAAAAAAATACTAAACAAACTTTATCAAGTTTCCATTTTCCTGCAGTAATATTTGAATTATAATATCCAATAGTTAAATGAGTTGGTTGTTCATTTATATTTTGTATTAAATCAATATCAAATGATTGATTTTCACCTGATTCAAATGAAGGACAATTTTTTGTATTTTTTTCTAATATAAATGAATTTTTTGTTTGATTATTTAAACGTATGAAAATTTGACTATCATTTGATGGAAAAAATTCTCCATCATCATCTTTTGATGGAAAAATACTTATACGATAATGAATTTTATTCTTTTCATTAGTTGATTCATTATCTGTTGAAATTCGACGTGTTTGATTAATAGTTGGTTTTTGAATTTGTTCAAATCGTTGTGGACGTTCATATGATGATGATAATGATGATGATGATGATGAACGAGATGAAGTTTTTGCTTTTTGTGCATTTGTTGTTGTTGTTGTTGGTGGTGGTGGTGGTGGTAGTGGAGAAAGTTTTTTTCGACTTGAAGATGAAGATGAAGATTTTGAACTAGTTGTACTTGTTGAACTTCGACGATTTATGTTATCTTGAGATGGTTCCGAAACATTAAGAATTTTTTCTTGAAATGGACGAATCCATTGATTACAAAGAAATTTAGAATGTGATTGAGTTTTTGGATCAATAAGTTCGATCTAAAAAATAAGAAGAAAATAAATAAATAATATATCGTTCATTGTTTTTTTTTTATTTTTACATGATCAAGTTGCCATTTAATATCATCATCATCATCATCATCATCATCATCATTTCCTGTTATTTCAAGTATTAAACGAATTTGTTTTGGTTTACCAATATCTCGAAGTTTAGTTCGAAATGAATCTTGTCGACCTGATTTAAAATATTGAGGAAAATCTTTCATTTCAATTTTATATTGTTCAGTTTCATCTTTTCCATTTATTGATATAAATGAAAATTTCAAAAATGCATTTATAGATGTATTTTTTGGTAATTGAAAACTGCCACTTGGACTATTTGATGTATGAAATATTATTTGCCAAGTTTTTGTTAAAGATTCTTCTGATGTTACTGTCGATGTTGAACTAGTTTCTGTTGGAGTTTTTAATGGAACTGTTGCTGCTGCTGCTGATGAACGGTTCTTAAAAAAATTTCATATATAGAATCAAAGAAGTTTATTTTCTTATTTCATGTTAACAAACAAGCAGTAAAAGGATTAAGCTCAATGTTTCATCTTAGTTTAAAATAGGAATGCAATGGCAAAATCGATACGTATCAATGTTGCATACCTTAATGCTAAAAATCTTTATTATTGAATGCTTCTATTGTCTATCTGGGCGAACAACATTGATCAAGATATTGATGATTATTGCCATCGTTGACCAGTTCGATAATATACTTACTTTGTGATATATAATTTGAGATTGTTTCTCGAAAGAATTACGCATGACGTATTCAAATAACTGAAGATAAAACCATCTGAAGTGATTCATCATCTTTTAGCTCATATTTTGGATATATAGAAAACATCTCTAGACTAGAATAATTCTGAAAGTATTCATGACGAAAGTCCTCCAATTGACTAATCACTTTTTGTGTCGAAAACATGTCTATCATGTAGATCCTAATGAGTTATGAATATTCCGAAAAGAGTTCGAATTCATAGGTTATTGCTGTCGACATATTGAATTTTGAAGGTATTTTTTTCAATACAATACTGATTTCATTCAGGAACATCTAAAAAACTTATTTTCAAATTTCGACTTGAAATTTTGCATAGTGAAAAGTCTTAATGGGAATAGTTTATTGCGAAAGTTTCAGATATTTTCGCTGTTCCTATCCCAATATACAGCCACTGTAAGAGCGCATCTTTTACATCGTTCATATACATCTACAGATTCGATGTTCTTATTTCAAGACAGAAACAGATCACATGGCTTGATACTTTCACGATTAGCTATTCTTATTAAGGTTTGTTTTTATGCAAAGTTTCAAGTCGAAATTCAAAATAACCAGGTTTCCTGAGTGAGACCACGACATTATACTGGAACATATCATAAAATGCAGTATGTCGGCAATAATGAGCTCGAACTCTTCTTGGGGTATTCATACTCCATTAGGATCTACATGAAACGCATAGTCCCAACTTAAAAGCGATTAATCAGCTTGAAGACTTCGCTCATTGACCTTCGCTATAGAAATACGATATTTTTGCTGGATTTTTACCATATAACGAAGTATTGGTAGGAAAATTAAACAAAAGATTTTTACATGAGATTTTCTCTGTAAGTAAGTCTCATTACCTAAAGAATATCCCAAAAATTAGAGTCAAAATGATTGCTGTGTTTTCAAAATATTTAACGTTCAAAATCTCTCGATTTTTCTGAGCGTTTCTAGAATCTAATCAGTTTGTGAACGTTGAATATTAAAAGTAGGTATCAATCGTTTTGACTCAAACTTTAATGATATTCGTAAGAACATAAGACCTATTTATCGAAAAAATTGTTTAGGTCAAACATTCTGTGTTCAACTTTTCTACCCATTCATCATTCTATGGTAAAAATCTAGCAAAACTTTTGTCAAGTTGCAGAGAAAATCAGTGAAGCTGATTCTTTTTGAGACTAGTCTAGTGTATAATTGATCTTCTTATTCCTTAAATGATGAATTATTTCGGACGGTTCTTTCGTGAGCCATACATTCTCTTGTTTAAACTTATCAAATTTTCATGCTATTCTCTATTAGAATCTTAATGACTGCACAGGGAGCACGAAAAGCAATATTATTAAAAACAGTTTTATTACTTTGAGAATATTTCAATGACAAACCTACCGATAAAAAAAACGAAACTTATTTATTAATACTAATCGCTCGAATTAGAATCGAAATGATCCATTTGAAGTACATCAGAAAATTTTTATTCGACTTCGAAAATCTCAAAGTTTTAGTGAATAGTAGAAAAAGAAAGATATCGATTATACCATGTGATTCATCAGACAATTATCATTACTGAAGAATCGATAAATATCAAAATATTATTTTAATCGACTTTAATATATATTTAATAAAAAAAAATCTTACATCTGTTGCTGTTGCTCCAGTTTTTCTTTTATGTTCATTTGATTCTGATGAATAGTCATTTTTTGATGTTCCTGCATCATCAGATCCATCAAAGTCTTCCGCATAATCTTCATCTAAATAAAATATAATTATTTAAATTTATCTTTTTTATAAAACATACTTGAAATTGGAGTATGTTTAACAGGTATTTTAACAGGTGTATGTCTTGTTTTAGTTTGATCTGAAACTGGTATGGAAATTGTTATTGGTTTTTTCTTTCGATCATCTGTTTCATTTAAATCTTTTGGTGAATCAGCTGATTGTTTGAATCGAGTTTGTTTTTCGAATCGACATCTTAAATTAATTAATATACATTAATTATTTCTTGTTTTTATTTTCCTTCTAAAATATACTTAATACAAGGTTTTGATCCTTCAACCGATAGAATAGCAAAATGACCACGTTCTCCACCTAATCTAACACCATGACGATGTTTATATTCACAACATGTTGATATTCGACTATCGATTAATCCTTTAACATATAAAGATAAACCAAATGGATAATCTGAATGACGACGTGAATTAAATTTAAATTCATCTATATCATAAATAAAATAAATATTAAAAGAACAAAAAAAAAAATAGAAATTTAACTGAACCTCCAGGTTTAAGATGATCTTTATAAACAATTAAATTTTCTCCTCCACAATGTTGTTGCATAACAATAATTTCATCAACTGGTTCGAACAGTGAATGATCATATTCAAGTTTTGTATGTGGACCATAATAAACCATTGTTATTCGACATGGAGGAATTGATAATGAAGAATCTGACGGTTTTGTTAATGCATGAGAACGTTGCTTCTTTTTTGTTAGAAACAAAAAAAAATTAATTAATTAATTAATTAATTAAATAAAATTATATTTCAAATAGATAAATATTTTACTAATGGTAATGATCGTGAAACAGATGATGATTTTGGTCGATTAAGATGTTGATGATGACGATGACGAATAGGACTTTTCGATGAATATTTTTTACGATGATCACCACTAACATGTGCTGATTGAACACGAGAAACTCGAGGTACATCACCAAATTCTTCATTCGCCTATTTGTATTTTTAAAATAATATTAAATAAAAAAAATTAAAATTTCATTTTAGAATTTACTATATCAATTTCTCGATGATGATTGGCACTTTTAGGTCGACTTTGTGACCAAGATGAATGTATCGAAAGTACACCCATATCAGCTGAGTTTGCCATATTTCCAGATGAATATCCACCACGTCGTCTTGATTCCTATACAAAATATCTTTCTATCTATGCTTATTAAAGAAAAACATAATAGACATTTTACTTTAACACTATGCACCAACGCTGCTTTTGATGCCATATCTAATTGACGTTTCAATTCAGCTTGTCGTGCTCGTTCCATATCAATTGCGCTGATATTTTATATTATAATAATAATAGAACAAGAATTTCCAAACTATTTTTTTTGTCCTACCGATGAACAATATTTTCAGCAAGCATTTGTCGAACATGTTTTTTATGATCACGTCGAGCTAATTTTAATCGATATTCACTATCAGGTACAATTTCACCTCGACGACTAATCTAAATTATTTCATTTTATTGTTATAGATAATTTAAACAAAAAAAAAGATTTTTTTTTTTTCGTATTTTTACTAGTCCAGCATGTCTTAAATGAGATCGAATACGTTCATTACTAAAATAACATTGTAAATGAGGATCAGCCAAAGAATTATATGTAGCCAAAGTACTAAATACAACAATTCTATAGAATCGATAATAAAAGATAAAGACTAGTACCTGGAATCAAGATGGGTCATTGTTGAAAAAAAAAAATCTTATGTCAAGAGGTCGTTAATCGAACACTACACACACACTTCTTTTTTTTTAATAAAGAGAGTCTCTAACAATGATTTAAGTAAACATATACAAAACTCCATTGACTTCTTTCTATTAATGTAGTTGTTGAGCAACGATTTGTCAAAGTGTTGTCATTATTACAATTCAAATGAAATTCATATTTCAATTTCTTGCTATCCTCATTCATTTTATTATTTTAAAAATGTATATATATTTTCTAATTATTTATCATATGAAAACTTGAATGTAGCTCCATCTTTCATTGAAGCCATACAAAAAATAAAAATACCACGAACATCTTTCTTCATTCCGCTATATAACAAAATAAAATCAAATTAGCAATTAATGATTTAAAACAAAACACATTAAATAAATTTTTCCAATAAGAGAAATATATATTGACATATCTAAACAAAAGTTTTATTTTAAAACTTGATAAAAAAAAAAAAACTATTGTATTCAAACAGGATTGATTGTCCTCGTATTTTCTTGCCTTTTCTATTGAGATCATTTTCTCTCTTTAAAGTATTTAAATGCCTGGAAAGATATATAGTCGACGAAGAATAAGATTATTCAGTCATTTTACGCAATGTATGTATGGTCAGTCAGTTTAGTCAAATCATTATAGAATTCTTCGTTCATGTCTCTATCTCTCATAATATAATCTCTCTTTCTCTCTCTCTCTCTCTCTCTCTTTGTCATTCTTCGTCTCTGTCTTTGTTTCTCTCTCTCTTTGTCTTTCTCTCTTTCTTTGTTTAATTTTCTCTATAAAATCACTTGCATATCCAAATAAATCGTTATAAGCACATTTTGTGACCATCATCCAATAATTGTATTCAACACAACGAATAGAATAATGGCTTCAATAATATCGATTATTTCATTTGTTATTTTATTATTAGTTACATATAGTTATTCTTTACCTGTTGAACAATTATATGATAGTTCAACAACTGAATATGAATTTATTTCTGGTACAACAATGGTTGATAATGAAAATGGAATGATGAATATGCCAGTTAGTGTTTCTCTTATTTTTCGATATATTTTGAAAAAAAATTTTTTTTTCTTAGGTAATGTCAGATGAACAATCAACTTATGTACCAGATATGTCTGATGAACAATCAACTTATGTACCAAATACGTCTGATGAACAATCAACTTATGTACCAAATATGTCTGATGAACAATCAACTGATAATGTTGAATTTACAACTGTAGATCAATTTGAATATCCTGATGATGTATCAGTTCCATCAACTACAGCGGATGATTTAGTATTTACATCATCATGGATGACAGTCACTTCTGAAATGATGCCATCAAATGATACAAATAATGAATATATGTTAGATGATAATACATCTATGACTATGAATACAGAATCAACTACTCAATTTGATTCAGAAGTAACTAATGTTGAAAACGATGAAGTCGAATTATCAACAATGTCAACAAATTATAATGAAATGGGAATGCCAACAAATTCTAATGAAGTGGAAATGTCAACAAATAATAATGAAATGGGAATGCCAACAAATTATAACGAAATGGAAATGACAACAAATTATAATGAAATGGGAATGTCAACAAATTATAATGAAATGGAAATGACAACAAATGTTCAAGTAAATTTTAATTTCTTTTTCGTTTGTTTTTTCTAATTAGAAATTTTTTGTTTTGTTTCAGACATCATCTGTTGAACCTGAATCACACATGTTAGAAGTATCAACATCTGTTGAACCTGAAGTATATACTTCAACAGTATCATCATCTGCTGAAACTGAATCAGATACACCAGAAGTATCATCATCATCATCATCTGAAGAAACTGAATCACATACATTATCACCTGTTGAACATGATTCACATACATCAGAATCTTCATCATCATTCGTTGAAATGGAATCGAGTACATCAGAAGTACCATCATCTGTTGAACCTGAATCACATATGTTAGAAGTAACATCTGTTGAAACTGAATCACATGCATCTGAAGAAACAGCAACAACAGTTGATGATGATAACAATGGTCAATCAAGTGAAGAATCAGAAACATCGCAATTTACAACTATGTCAACTATGACAGGTAATATTAAATTCAAAGTAGAACATTTTATTAGATATTTAAATATTTTTTCTAGTTTTAGGTCAAGTCGAAGTACATGTTGAAGAAGTTTCGATTGACTAAAATGGAAGATGATTTCAATAAATATTCGAAGCATTTTTTTTTTTCAAAAACTAAACTTATTATCATCCTTTTCTTTTTCCAAATGTATCTCTGAGTTGTTCTTCAATGTAATTGAAATAATATTCATGTTGTACTTGCAATAGAATTCAATTTCTTTATTATATAATAAAAATCATCTCCTTATCTATTCAATATTCTTCTCTTTATTTTTAACAAACAAATTTGTTTTCAAGTTTTAAAATGTAGTATTTCATTGCATTTGAGAATCCAGTAAATTTTTATGATAGACAAGGAAATAGTGTTCAATAATTGTCATACTAAAAATGGATTGATTTGTAGTAGCATTATTGAAGAAACTAATGCTCTTAGTTAGTAGATACTGTGTAATATCAATTTTGACCATTTTCAGTGGTATTTAGGTAGCAGAAGATGGTATGCAAAAAAAAAGTATCGTAAAAATTAATGTTTTAGTTGATATTTTATATTGATTATGAAAAGTGGGGTTTGAGGTATTGACAGCCTGTGCTTATCTCAATATTCATGTTCTTTACAATAGCTAATTTTTTTTCAAGTGGGAAGAAGAGAAAAATCTTAAGAGATTTGGTGTCCTGATGGAAGATTTTTGAGATATTTTATTTTGGCTTTTTTCTACTCTCTGTGCGTTTCGAGGCATCATGATAGTACACCCGATCGAGATGAAACCTTCTTTTACTTACAATAGAAACTACTTAGAGTGTCTACTTTTATTTCAAAATATGATGTACCACTGGTTTTGTCAGCACGTACATAAAAAGGCTCCATTTAAAAAACCATGGATTTTTGAAGATACGCTCTACTTTGATCGAAGGAGAGTAAAAGAACTCTGAAAATTTAGGTACCCTGTTTATAATATTTTCCTTCTATCAGACGCATTGTTGCTAACAAAGTATGGCGACTTTTTTAGTTCTTGCGACTCTGATATTTGTTACAACGAAGTATTTAGCAATCTATAACTTTTGCTCTAGTTATGAAGATCTATCTATCCTTATATTAAAGATGAATGGTTTATTACTACTTCGAAAATTGCTTGATGTCATATAAGGTCTAGATTGAATAGAATATCACAGAGCATTCATAGCTAATTTTGTAGAATAAGGCTCTAGATTCTATCACAAATAAACTGATCTATTAATTAATGAACACTTGAATCAGAGATGCTTTAATAACTAGTGTTCATTGTAGTTTAACATTTTTCGATTATTATCGTTATCAAGCCAATATTATTATGTCTGTCAAGAGTTTTTAGTTTTGAAAATATTCAATGAACTGAATAATTTTAGTCTATGAATTTTTGTAATTTGAAAAATAAATGTAATAGTGAGAAAAGAAAAATTAGATATCTATTCTCTGAAAACTCAAATTATCGATACATCAGATAAAATTAGAAAAAAATTCTTAAATAACAAAGAAAAAATCAAGCTTCATATAACCATAATATTCATTGTGAATAAAAATTTTCATGCTTTTTCTTTTTATAATGCTGTTGGCACATTTCGATATAATTGAAATGGCATTGTTATTTGATTATATTTTATAGATATTTTAGGATTATGATGTAATGCAAATGATACACCTAATGCATATGATGCTGTAAATGTAGCAAATAATGAAAAAGCTATAGCTGCATTAAAAATAATAGCACTACCACCATTCATAAATAAATATAAATTTATTGTTAAAATTGTTATCCATAAAAATAAAGAAGCAAGAAAAAAAAATATTGTAATAATAATTAAATTTATTCGACGTCGATAAATAAATACATTTATAAATGAACTAATAATACCAAATATAATAAGACATTGACCTATAATAGCAAATATTATTGATATATTATGTTTTTCTCTTATACTTGTACAACTATCTTTATAACATATTTGAAATAAACCTGTTTTATTATGATGACTATCAATTTGCCATCCAGATGTTGTTGTTGCCAAAATAGACATTATAAATGAAATCATACTAAATATAGCACTAACAAGAATAATTAATTCTTCTTGAGATTCATTGTTTGTATTCATTATTTAATTAACATATATTTTACTGTGATTGTATTAATAATCAATATTACATTTGAATAACTAACAAATAATGATATGAAATAATCTAGTATAATAAAATGATTTTTTGGTTATTTTCTTTCATTATTCAATTTTTTTTTTATTCAAAAATATACAAAGTTTTCTATACGTATTTTGTGTTTATAAGAAAAAATTTCTTATAAAAATAATTAATTGTATTGTGAAGATATAAAAATAGCGCTAATTTCATTCATTATATAAAAAAAACATTCATCACATATCAGTTAATTGTGTTTGATCTTATTATTCAAAATGATTGTCAATCAATTGAGTATGTTTAATAATTATTGTAACTTAAATATATGATTATATTTAGCTTCTCTTCTGTTCATCATTTCAATAATATTTTCTGGACTTAGAATATTGACTGGTGATAGTATGGAAAGTTCTGCTAATAATGATGATAGTGATGATAATGGTGGTATATATACACGTTTAAGTCGTCAACTTAAAAAATTTGCATATGCAGATCCATGTGAAGTTGAATGTATTACTGAAAAACATCATTCAAAAGTACCGATTAAAGTTTTAACTGTAAGTTATTTTATTTTTAATTATTTCAAAATAAAATTAAATATGTTCTCATATAGAAACAATGTAAAGAAACATGTCAAGATAAAATAGAGAATTATAAATCAGCTATTTATCATGAGTAACATTTGAATGTTAGTCATTATAAACGATATTTATGTTTTTTTTCTGAGTTCGAAGTATTGTCTTACGCAAATAATTTATTCTTATGTTGTATTAGTTCAAGCGAATATTTTGTGTTTTTTTTTTCTAATAAAAATCTTCTTTTCTATTAAAAAATAGATCTCAAATAATAACAGAAGTGGATTCAAGAAATTTTGAAAGGAATAACGGATGAAATTAAGTTATTGATGGTTTTAGTGATGATTTTTTTAAACATTTTCTATTATCAACTGTTTAAATTCATGTTATGATCTATGGAAACAAATTATACAAGAAATTCTAGTTTCTTATTATTTTTTTTTCGTTTTTGAGCAGTTGTCGATATCAATGTGAATCATCGACAGAACAAGCATATAAATGAACTGTTGACATTATTGTTAGTTATTTCACTATTAAACTCTACAAAAGATTATCAACTGTGTTACAAGAATAGAAGTTATATCCAACAAGAGAAAGAGTATTTGACACAAGTAATAACACAGCTTACGGCCATACCACGTTGAATACACCAGTTCTCGTCCGATCACTGAAGTTAAGCAACGTCGGGCTCGGTTAGTACTTGGATGGGTGACCGCCTGGGAATACCGAGTGTCGTAAGCTTTTTTTTTAGCCGCCATGGTTGAGTGATTACGTTGTTTGGCACGTATCCACAAGGTGCTGTGTTCGAACGTCAGTATCACCATCTATGAAATCATCCTGGACAAGTCACTAACGGCAAGTTGTCTCGAATGACTCCTTTGTTAGCATGTTGATTACATTGCTAGTCAATATGTTAGACGGAATGGGTGCAAATACCGCCGTCTGTAAAAAGAAAAAGACGAAAGAACCCGGCTGCATGTAGATCCTAGCGGTTGGCCCCAACAGGCGATAAGTCTATGAGAAAATTTATTTATTTATTTATTTATTTAATAACACTACGTAAGGAATATATAAGATGTTGTTTTTCTCTGGAATCATTCATTTCAAAATACAAACACAGTAAACTTAACAATAGTGAGAAATGCACACTATTTGTCTCTACAAATCTCATAGAAATACAAAGATATGTAAGGTATAAGAGATATAAATTTCAAAGAGAAAGACGGTGACCACCCTGGATTCGCCATTGAATATTAACACAGTTAGTCAGGATGTGATAGTACTATCTCCATCAACTATGTTCTATCTTTCTTACTGTTGGATGTACATTTATTTATATTTTTGATTTTATTTGTTATGCTCAGTTTTTTGCTAATTATTATTCAATTCTTCTTAATTACTATATCTTTTATTCATAAACGTGGTAGAAAAAAAAAGCGAAATGATGAATCTATTTCGTATGATCGATGATAAGTACTATGTTTTATTGATTTATCATGAAAAAGACCAGAGAACATTAACAATATGATGAACTTTTTTTGTTTTCTTTGTTCAGAAATACATTGATAATTTCATTCATCACATCCAAGTAGCAGTTACGTACCTAGAATTCTAGTGAATGAATAATGATTTTGTAAACAATGTCTTTTGAAATAGTAGGAATTTCTCTCTCGAATATATTCAGGTAGTATGTTTGCATACATACGGATTTTTATATAAAAGAATCGAGAATTTCGTGGAAAAAAATAGCTTTTAGCACAACAAAAAAAAACGATCAATAAAAACTAAAGATTCAGATCACAATTGACTTTTAAAAAATTCATTAATAACAAAATTCAACTTTTATTTTTAAATATCGTTAAATATTTCGAACAGAATATATTAAGAGAAATCGATCCCTTTCTTATAATAAAAAGAAAACTACTGAAATAAATGCTCTTAACATTAATTTTGATACTAATCAATCATCATACTTTCATATTTCAAATTTAAGAAAAAAATAAACATTATTCGAAAACAATTTCTTTGATTTACTTCTAAAACAACGTGTCCAATATCGATGAAGCTTGTTTCTCTTAAAAAATATATTATTCTTGACTGAGCTCTTAATAGGCTGCTGAAATTCGATCCATGGACCGCTTATCTCGTTAAAATTTTTTCCTAAGATCGTTAGGCTTGTCAAATAAATCCGGATTTGTCTGTGAAGGAAGAGAAGAAGACAACGACATTTTATTGAATATAAAGTAGTATATTTGACGTCCTACATATCAACACAAGATCGACGAAATTTCAGTCGACTACGTATACTCGGTGATATGCTTTAGTCGATCGAATTTATCGGTCTAATGTCGACAGTTTCTCGGTAAATTATTAGTACTTCAATTTTATGTCTTTATTCTGTGTTCATAGTTACTTACAGCTCACCGCAAAAAGTTTGAGCCGATGAAAATACAAAGTAAGATTGCACAAAAACAAAACATTTGGAGTGATAATGCGAGATAACTCTATGAAATTCTGTGTTTTACTCAAGACTCGACCATAAAAGCCAAATTTTTTAGTCCATAGGTAACATGGATCAGTTCAACCTAGTGCATCATGTTTGTTTCTAGAAAAAAATTTGACCGACCTCATTGCAAAGCTCCGATTGTTAACTCCTAAATAAATCAACATAAGTATTTAGTTGTATATGATAATAAACATTGAATTTATCATGACGGTGAGTTGTAAACTCTCGATCTTATTACAATGAGATTAAAGCAGTTCTATAATGAAAGCAAACATCTCAAAGTATGATCAACATATTTTCAAAAGATCTAGTCAGACAGACTAATCGAATTTAACTGGATGAAATTTTTCATATTTTAACCACATTCAAATAGGAAAACCATATATGATTAGAGAAATATTGTAAATAGAAGGTACTTATTCTAAAATACAGTTATGGAAATCAAGGGGTTATAATCATCTACAAGTATCCAAATAATTTAAACTGAATAATAATCATCAGTAAACTGTCAGTTGACTATTTTCTAACCAGCAATCTACTGCCGAGATATTGTCAATACTTCCGGTATACCGGCAGTAGTGCAAACAAACGTGCAATATGAGCGATATCTTCTATTACATGTTAATATTTTCTTAAGTGTGATAATAAATGAAATATTTTCATAGTGTTACAATTCTTTATACGTTGTTTGTAGAACAAAAATTTTGCAAATGAAGAGTTAAAATCTATTGTTAATAATTTTTCGTTAATTTTATTGACAAATAAACTATATATGTAAATATTTATTTTTTCAAAATTCAACAATTCTATTCGTTCATCTGTACAATAATCTATAGACAAATTCATATATATATAAAAAAAACAAAAAAAAAAATATCTGACATAAACATTGATTTTGTATTTATCTTTAGAACTAATCATATCGGTTATTCATTATTATTTTCAATAAGATAATCATCTGTTGGAAGACATTTTCCTAATTTAATTGAATCTAAAATAAGAATAATTTAAAAATAAAATAAAAAATAAATTTTCAAATTACCAATAACCCATTGTTCATTAACTTGTGGATAAATAATAATTTG